ACAAGATAAAACCATATTTGTGTATTTAAAAGATGTATAATGAAAGGATTTCTCCAAGAATATTAGAATTTGGATGCTAATTTTTATTAGTCTGTCCTGGTAAAGAAAACAGAGACGTTAGACTTGCTTAAAAAAGAAACTCCCGAGTGCAAATATTGAAAACCACCATCCAGGACAATTATTTCCCCAACATCGGTGACCATGCCACCCTCTGCCTAATAAAAAAATACAAAACCGTATGCAAAGCAGGTGACTGGGTGTGGGAGGGAGAGAAGGAGGAGAACAGACTAGACACATGCATTTTAGGGTTCACAGGCACCCCTGGAAGAGTTCAGAGGAGGAAATGGTAAACAGAATAATTGGGATGGATTGTTTACTTTCTGGTACCACTCAAGCAACCCTCTAAAGGGGAAGAAAGGGGACCCGACTTACAGCTTTTCTTCTTGGGAGACAGATACCTGTCCCTTAAACAACGCCACAGGCATCTTTTTAGTCTATGAGATAAGTGGTGCTCAGATTTTAGTTCTTATCAACCATAAACATTTTTTAAAGACCACCCAACTTTTGAGGACCGATAAAAGATTTCAAACATTAGATCTGGACATGAAAAATAATGAAAGAAAGGTGGCATTTCACTGTAACCTTGTACTTGTACTCATATCACAATTTTAACACCAAAGTATGGAAAATACATTCTTAGAATATAAATTATGAAATACGTAGCTTCAAAAATACTCATGGCTACTGTATTTTTCCCATTTCACTGCAGATCCGTGAGCCCTCGGGTAGCACTGGCCAGCAGGCCCTCTGTCCTCACTTGGCCAAAGCATCAGACACGTGAGTGCAGGTCTCTCGGACCAGACTAGCCCGTCCACCCCCTCACCCAGCCCTGAAGCCCACCACCTCCCACTCATCTGCAGAGACAGTGGTGGCCGTTTGGCAGAACTTGGTCAGCTTTCTCCTCCTCTCTGGCCCATCAAGACTCGCCTCTGCCTCCTCATCCACTGTCAGTGGATGAGGTGCTTCTCCACCTGGGTCTAGATTCCACAGCCCCCCGCCTCCTCAGGGGGCCAAATCCATCGCCACCCCGCTCACCGGTGAGATCATGGCACTCTGACACCCTTCCCGCTGAAAGCCGGGGAGCTGTGGAGGCTCTATGATTGCTTCGGTCAAGAGCATGTGGTAGAAGTGGCACTGGGCCAGTTTTTGGCCCCAGGCCTTAAGAGACTGGCAGCTTCCTGTCCCTGCGTCTTGCAACGGTCCCTCTAGGAGCTCCAGGCTGCTTATAAGACATTAGAAACGCTGAGGCTTGAATGCTGGAGGAGCTTCAGCCGAGAGCCCTGTGGAGCCTGGCCTTCCAGCCATCCCTGCAAGGCTCCAGACGTGATGTCCCGGACCCCCCTCATCAGATCACCCACCAGCTGCGTACTTTGCCCAGTTAATGTCACACAGGCAGAACTGCTGAGCTGAGCTCTGCTCAAACTGCTGACCCCTAACACCATGTACCAGGTTGATAAATTCTGGTATTTTACACAGCCGCAGAGAGCCACAAAACGTGAGCATCTTCAAGACCCCTGTCTCTCTTCCAGCTATTTTCTTTTGGAATGTAAGTAGAAACATACTCAAGTCTGAGTCAGCCTTATCCCCGTTCCTGATTTTACCCTACATGCCCTTCCACACACACCTTCATTTTCTCTTTCCTTCCATCAAGGTTCCCAACCTTTCATTTTCCATCTTTCTGGAATGGTGCCTCTTCCTCACCTGTGCCAAAAAAAATCACTTTTGCTATTTAGGTTTTGATAAACACAAGGACTCCGTGTCCCGTCCGTGCCCTGCTGGGTCTCTGGGCCATGGGGTACCACTGGACCGCCCTCCTTCAGCAAACTCCCCTCGCCCTCCTGTCCTCCGTATTGCCGCTCTTGGCTTTCCTGTCTTCTTAGTAACGCTTTCCCCCTGCTTTCTTCTCTGCTGCCAGTTCCTTAAATATTGAAATGTTCCCCAAGCTTCTCTTTTCCATTTCTCTCTTCCTTATATGCTTCCCAAAGTCAGTGTATCCATCCTTACCAACATCCATTGCTTCAAATCGATGCTGCATCCTGAGAGCTCGAAGTCAGTATTTCTAGCCTAGATCTTTCTCAAGAACCTAAGGGCCAAGTCCTGACTGGACAGGAGGTGCGACCTGGGGGTGTTCAGCCTCAGCAGGAGCAAAGCTCACCTCCCGGTGCCAGGTGCCGTTCTACTGCGCTTCCTGTCGGCGGAGGGTCCCCACATCTTGGAAGTCATACTCGACTCCTTGATCAGCCGCGCTCCCACTCATTCTCCCTACTTACAGTCTCTGGAATTGGCTTACTCCTCACTACCTGTCCCTAAGGCCGTCATTCAGGGCTTCACTGCTCCTTTATGCAGACTCTACTGGCCTCTAGATTCGATTCAGTCTCTCACCCTGCCAGCAGGTTGATTCTAAGTACAAATCTTGTCATGTCACTCATTTGCTAAAATCTTTCAGGGCCTCCCCAACATTTCAGATCCAAATTCAAATTCCTTACCATGACCTACGCGGCCCTGACCCGCCACCTCCTCATCTCCTGCCTCCTCCCACCTCTGCCCTTATCACCGGCTACACAGAAATACTTGCAATTCCCTAGATTCACTACCCTTCCTTACACTGCCAGCTCTGCACCTGCTGCTACTGCCATACGAAACATCTTCCCCTGATGTCCAAACCAAAAATGACTTTTTCCCTAAAGTTCAATTTAGCTGGCACCTTCTCAAGAGGGCCTTCCCCGCCCCACATTCTGTCCTTCCTAGTATGTTGTGTGTTCTTCTCTCTCATCACATTCATTAAAACATAACTTCCTGTGTAGCAGCCACTGTATAAATCTGCCTGAGCAGTAGACTCAGACCTCCTTGAAGGCAAGGACTTATCTATCTCAGTTCTCCAATCATAGTCTGGCACATAGTAGCCCCTCATGGATGTTTGTTGAATGAATAAATGAATGAATGAGTGAGTGGCATGTATTTAGTTGCCAGATTTACTAGTTTCACACAGAATTGTAACATATTACAAAAAATAGGAAACTCATGGAAGTAATTTCTTCCTACAAAGGAGTAAAGGACTCTGTCGTAATTTACCTTCTCAGCTTTTCCTTGCTTGAATGAAGAAGAGAAATCCTTTGGCTTTTCTCAAAATCTGACAACGGAGCTTTTAATTCAAGCCCAATGTCATTTCCTAGAGATTCAGGGCTAAAAACAAGAGAAAATCACACCATGCATTTAGGAGGACCGGTGTAAGGCGATACTGAACAATAAGCACAACTACGCTAATTAAAGGGTGCTTCTGTATGTCTCTTGTTTCATCATAGGTGTGGTAAATATCAAAGCACTTTACCTTATATATTTGGTACAGAATATTTTATTTTAAAATTTTAGAAGAATTTTGCATCAAAATGATCATAAATTTAATGACTGATCAAAACTCTAAAATTGCACTGATAAATAACAGATACACACAGGATTAAAATATTCTGACCGCACTGATTCCAACTACCCCAAATCATATAACTGTCTCCAATGGTGTATTACAGGAAAAAAAAAAAAAAAAAAGACTAGAGGGCCAAGATACACTATTCCAACTTGACCAGCAAAGGGCAGGTTCCCTCTATTTAAAATTCTGTCATTTAATGCAGCTTTTCTAGCTTTACCACTTTTTCTAGAACTTCTCCAAGCGTTCTGATTGATTTTTTAAAAACTATTTCCTAAGAAATAGAAGCTATTATTATCTCCTCTATCCAAGGGACATAACTCAATTTGAAAATTTTTACTTTTATTCGTAGTGGTAGGATTCGGAGGAAAAACAAAGAGAGACTCAAGATGAGAAGGCCTCTAAAAGCAGTTGCAAATATTAACAAGAAAATCACAAAAGCTTCCAAAAACCATGCTGATGTCTAGATAAGGTTTAATAAAATAAATCCCTTTAAGGCTAAAATGTTAAATAAGGTCAAGAAAGCTGTTGATATGTCTGCAGTACTTGAGTGTATCTTTGGTTTAACCACACTTACTGGCTGCCCAAGTCTCTTCCTTGTTCAAAATAGTAGATGGTCAGCTTTCTACAAATAGTTGTTGGTTACATTCTACAAATTCCGGATGTGACTGACTCAAAATTCTCACCGTCATCACCCATGTCTTCATTAGTTATGTCTGTTCTTTATAGCCCTTAGCCTACTTAAAACCTCCTTGGAAATCAGCTTAAAGTGAAGGGAAAAACCTCATGAAAACTGAATTTTTATAAGCAGACAATGGGTGCAGCGGAAGGGTCTGACCCCCAGCTCGGCGACCTGGTGCAGGTTTGAATGCCCGCTCGACTATCTGAGAGACACAGAAGCACAGAGTCAGACAGAGGCCTTTTCAAGAGCTGCTTTCAGTGACTGGGGAGACAGGTCCGTGAATTCAAAAAGGGCGTCAGAGAGAACCTTAGGGCTAGGCGGGTAACAGCCGAGGCTGCTCTAATTTACTCAAATATAGGGATTATATGTAAAATTTTTCTTTGAAGAAAAGACTCCACTGTTTTTAAAATGCCACTGATACTATTTAACTTTGCTTAGTGATAATCCGGACTCCAGCACGTCCAGTGACGGGGAACTTACTACGTGGTCATTCAACCTGCTGCCCTGCGGTCGACTACGATTGTTATGAAGTCTTCCTAATAGGGACCCGAGTGCCTCTGTCGTGTGTACCATAGTCTCAGCTCAGATGCTGAAATACAGAAAAAGTTGCAGCCCTCTTCTTTCTTTTGCACCACCCCCAGCACTTAGGCTGTTGTTCCACAATGAGTAAGTTCTCCAGAAGTCACACAGTAAAAATTGCTATTTCGAAAAGGCAAAGGAACAAACCAGGGAAACAGATGGGTGGAATAATGCCCTCGGTGTTCACTGCAGGGTTTGTACTGGGGCAATCCACAGTCTTCAGGCTTCACAGAGTTTTCGTTCTGAACTGAAAGTTGCACAAAGAGGATCACTTTAATCCTAAAAGCACTGGTGAGGATGATGTTAATTACACATACAAGCCCCCATCGAAAGCAACTGTCACCTTGCTCGCAACAGATCTTGGAAAGCCCTACTTTTCAAGTAGGAAGCAATTTTTAGATTTCAGTCTAGGAAGCGTGAAACCAACCAGGTTAGGAAGCAAAATTAAAACACTACCCAGGACAGCCTCTTTCAACCAGATTCTAGTAACTTAGCGATAGGCATGTTTAAGACACAGTCAACTGAGTTTATTTATTAAGTTCTGGTTTATAGGTAAATGTCACAGACAGGAAATGTGTGCAAGCCTTCCGTGAGCAGCTGCACTGTCAAAATGTGACATCTGATTTTCCTTTCCTTTTCTTTTTTTCCTTTGGCAGCTGCTCATCCTTGGAGCAAAGAGGTGATGACTGGAAGCAGACGTGTGGTTATGACCAAGAGGAAGGGTGTCTATGCTAGACGGGTGGTGATAGCAGCTGCTCCATTTCCACTGAGAGCCAAGTAAGAAGGGGTTGCGAACGGACCTGGGTCACCCCAGTGGGTGGTTTCCAGGAAGAACTCTGAAACTGCAGGGGCTGGGGGCCATGGGAATGTTATAAAACAGACTAGCTAATCTTCCCTAAATACTAAAACAGGATCATTGAAACACGAGGAGGGGTGCACTGAATCCTGTGACAGCTGGAGAAGGAGTTTCTACTGGTGAAAGTGTCTTTCAGGCCCATTTTAAGAAAAATATCGTAATTTTTAAAGATTTCCTAGCTAGTATCCCAGGCCTAGAAAAATCACAAATAGTCATTGACCTACGATTCCAGGGGAATTTAATCTCAGAAAGTAGAGTCTGTCCTTTTACAAGCCATAAAGCTAATCTAATTAGCTGATGCGTTTAGATGCTCATGATCCACATAACACAATAGAGGTGAAGAGTTTCGAGATGTGAGCTCTAAGTGCAGCACTGCCACTAATGAGCTGCGTCTAAAGATCTAAAACAGGAAGGACACCCACCCTACTGACTTAAAGAAGTGAAATAATTTATACACAAGTGCCTCTGCAAAGCAGGAATTCCCACACATTCCCAGGCCAGTGCCCCTGGCCTTCGGATTCTCATACAATGACATGGTATGATTAATTCCATTTTAATGACTTAAATGATGATAGAAGCCAGGCACCCAGAACAAAATAAAGCCCTGTGCCTACCACACACTGTAGTGTCCCTACACAACACATTTTGAACCTCTGAAAATGGAAACTTTTTCTTCGCAGGAAACACGTTTCGCTTGATTTACACTTGCTTTCTTCCAACTATAATTCACAAGGATGACATGTTCTTTACAGTACACAGCATATAGTTAATCCTTAGCAAATAAAAGGCATGGTGGAAAACAAACTTTGATGTATACATACAGTTCTTACTAGAATTGTCATTAACATTTTTCAAACCTCTGGAAATTTGCTTTTCACTTACCAGTATTGGAGAAACAGGTTTTCCAGTACTTCAACACAATATTCATTTTTTCCACTGTCAGTGGTTCCATTAGAGTAATTTCAGCTCTGTGCCCTGAAATAAAACCTAAGAATCTTTGTATTAAATATGGACCTTATCATTTCTAGTTGGAGAAAAAACAAATAATATATCCATCAGACACGTACCTTTAAAATTTTCAGGGATTATAAAAACAAACAGCAAATCCGTATTTTTCTTCTTGCCAAATCTGAGAGAAAAAAAATGTTAAAATGAAGCTGATCGTCTTTCAAAAAAAATTGGGATTCAATAATACAGCTTCTAAGAACAAAACTAGAATGATTTTCTTTAAAATTTTAAATGACATTAATACGGAAATTTCGTAAAAGTAGCACTTCAAATGAGTGAAGAAAAGATGGACCACTTTTATTCTTGCTTAAAAAAAAGTACCTAAATCTTATCTGTATTCTTGATCTAACCACCAGTTTTCAAGAAATTTCAGGTAAAGAGAAATATTTTAAATAATGCTGTGGGGAAGAAATCAGCAAACTCTAGCACACGGGCAATTCTGTAAGACAAAATGACCTCTTTTTAACATATATGTGTATACATATAAAAATAACAGTAAGACAAAAAGGAAAGAAAAGTAGGGAAGGGAAAACTGAATCCTGATTTGTATAAACTCAGCTAAAAAAATATTATAAGCAGAAATTTGAATGGATATTTGACAATATTAAGGACTTGTTATTAATTTTTAGACATGACTAGTATTGTGGGGTTTTTTTTTAGAAGAGCCCTTATCCTAGAGTACATATCCAAGCATTTATGGATGAAAGGGAATGATACATTAGATGTGTTTTGAAATATGCACCAGCAAGCAGGGGTGGGAGGGAGAAGAGAAAGATGTGGGAGAAGGTAGCCATGAAATAAGATCAGCATGTGTGGATACCTGCTAAAGTGCACTGCACACGTGGAAATTCATTGTACTAGTCTCTGTACCTTTATATCTTTGAGATTTTCCAAAATAAAACTTGAACAGAATTGTGGCCTTGTGGTTAACTACAATCAGGAGTTCAATAAGTTGGAAATTCTGATAATTTGATGGAAACTGGACATTGGCATTAGCTAAAAGGAAATGATCTCCCAAGGCGAATATTACTGTGAACCAGACATTAAAGAGAACAACTAAACTATCTAGGAAAAACAAAATATTCTTAAATATCTAAAGCATCAGTTATTAGTATGTGGTTATTTGTGGCTATTAATTATTCCTTAAAATAGGACCTGCATAATGTTGTTAGGTTATCTTATATAGCATTTGAAAGTAAAGATACATTATTCTATGTTCCAAATACATATTAAGAACCTATGTGCCAGACTCCGTATAGACCCTGGGGGTTATTATGAACAGACAGAGAGACAAGGCCCCTGCTGTCACAGAGTTAATGGTTTTGGGGGAAACAGACATTAAACAAATGCTGTCAATAATTAATTAAGTGCCAACTACGTGCTCAGTGCTGTGAAGGAAAGCCATGGGTACCGGGGGCGCACACCCAGGTGCTAACTGCTCTGCAGCCTGGGAGGCTTCCAGGTAGCAATGCCTTCCTGGCTGGCTGGGCAGCAGCCACAGGAAGGGCGGGACTGGGGGAGGGCGGGAGGCAGATGAGTTCTGCACAAAGGGGGCAGCATGTGCAGGCCCTGGCGAGTAGAGAGCCAGTGGGCAGGAGAAAGTAGAAGAAGCCCAAGTGGGCTCCAGCACCAGGCGTCTGGGGGAGAGACGCAAGGAGACACCAGAGAGGCAGGCAGGGCTGGAGACGCACTGCAGTCGGTAGGCCTTCGGGGCCAAATTAAAGGTTTGGTATTTAACTAAAATGCACAATGAGAAGCTATTAAGCTTGGGCATTTCAGAAAAGCCATCCTGCCTACCACTGAGGCAGGGTGGCACCGAACAGATGTGAGAGATCATATTGCAGTTATCCAGGCAAGAGCTGATGGCAGAGAGGGGCAGGCATACTTCCTTTACGAAAACAAATAGTTCAGGGTATCTACTAAGTGAATTATTTCAGACAAGCGGGATATTGCCAAAATGTGACATTCACTGCCTTGAGGTCTATTCAGGCTTGACGCTGTTCTATGACCTCTGAGGAGAGTGGGCTGAAGGGGCAGAAGGCAAAGAAGGCATGGTTCTCCGAGGAAACGAGTGGCTCGGGCAGACGTCCTACCACCAGCGTAGGGCATGCAGGAGCGAGGAGGGGCCGCGACAGCCTGGATGGGAAGGGGTGGGTGCCACGTGGCAAGGGGACACCTGCCACAGTGTAGGCATCTCATCCGTTAGCTGGGGTGTGATGGAGGTCTGGGTACGGGACAAGGGGGAAGAGGTGGAAGGGGAAAATGCACTGAACAAACAGGACCCACGAAAGGAAGTTATGGAGGTAAAGGGCCTTTGCAGATTCACGAAAAATCAACTATCACAAGTTAAAATATTCTAGAATTAGAGAATTAAAAAAAAAAAGATTTCTATGCTTTCAGGAATAATCCTGTTTCTTTTAAAAATTTTATAAATTGAATTTACTGACATGAAAATAGGTGAGGTTTGGATATACGGATTTATGCACCCTGAAGACTTTCAAATTCTGAGCTCTCCATGAAACCCAGTTGCAATTCCTGGATTTCTGTCACTAGCACAGAATCGATTACCAACCCAAACCCTTCCACGGCCAGTGAAACCCTAATTGCCGCTCTGTGCAGGAAGCCCATGAATCGATAGAGTTCCCAGAATCCAAATCGATGGTCTGAATTCGGCTGCTCACTCACATTCTTTACAAATCAATAAGCTCAAAGAGCTTGCTGGGATCTCCAAAAAAAAGGTCCTCTTGTTAATGAATGAATGCTCCTTAAAACAAAACTAAGCAATACAAAACAAAGGGATTTCGTTAACCCCGACTAATGCCACTTCTTCAATATCTCACAATCAAAGTGCAGGTGCTCAGACCCTAAGAGTCTCAGTCCTTCTTCACCTGAAGTCTCGTAAAAATTTTCAGCTCCCTGGAGGACAGTCATTTCTCCTCGTGTTTCACAAAATACACTGTTTAAATGTCACAATGGTGCCTGAGACCACACGCGACATAACAAGATCGGATAGTGATACTCCGGTGCTGGTTCCCATGCCTGTCTCTGGTGCTCTCTGGACCAGAGGCGGCCTCAGGCTCTCACTGCTGCAGTCCCAGCCCCCAGTCTCGCCCCGTCCTCAGGTCTGGTCCCTGGTAGCTGAACCAAATGACCATGTGAAAGTGTACTGAGCTGAGCTGTATACTCTGTTGATAAAAGAACCCAGGCGAAGTCCCAGCCTCTGCAACCTATCATCTAACAGGATGACCAGAGGGTCTTGGAAGTCCCTATCAAGCCAGGGGAAACTTTAAACTCACTTCCTTTAGAGTCACAAGGACTTCAAGGGACAAATGCCAGTGTCATTTTTGGGCTGTGGCCTTCTTGAGTACAGTTATCCATTATGCCATCCTTCGGCCAAACTGGAACCAAATAACTAGCTAACTAATAATCAAACTAACCAGATGTGGCCTGTTTGGGACTTGTAACAATTAATGTTCTTTGTTACTTACTTAACTAAAAACCATTTTCAGTGAGAAAACTGGAACTGTATTATAAATACGGAAACACTGAGTTCACTCGCCACTAACAGGGTACCAGAAAAAGGGCAGTTAAGTTCTGAGACTTTAGGGGTCAGTAGTGAAGGCTGGTGTGGTCTGTTCCTAGTATGCTGTTCCTCAGAACTGAGTTCCTGTTGTGAACCTCCTAAGTCAGGTTCACCACTTGACGGGATGCTAAAAATGATGAAGATCTGGAATTTTCCTCAATTTCTGTTTACACCCAACCATCAATTTATAGAACAATGTTTTCAGTAAAACTACTTAGATGTTTTGATCTGACTGTGTTTACTGGGAAGTGTTCAGGTAACTAGGTCATGCAGATGGCCTAATAAGACTTACTGACTTGTCTTGTCAACTCAAGGACACTGTGGAATCGGGGAAATAAAAAGACAACTTGTTAGCTGTTAGACTGTTAGATTCCTGTGGGTTTTCATAATGAAGTAATAAGTTAACTGATCAGACAATTGAAATTACATGGGGAAAAATGAGATCAGATCCAAACTTGATATGTGGGCCCACATTCTGCACCCCTTTCCCATTGTTGAGCTGCTCTGTGCTCACAAGAATCACAGAATTTTTTTAAAAAATAGACATTTCACGGAAGGGAAAAATGACAATTTCAGACAGGATCCACACATTGTTCATAAGTTTAAAACATATTTAATTTTCCATATCTGCCTTTAGAAGATATAGGGTCAGGATGTGTCTTGTTATCAAGTATCTGTCCTGTGAGTGTGATTCCGTGTTGAGAGATCTGACCTGAACCGAGTTAAATATCCCTGGAATTCTGGAGTCAAGCATATGAACCCTAAGACTATCTTAAAACATTTTACCACTGGGTAATATTTGAGTTCATCTGGCTCAAATAAAAATATATTCATGAAATGAAATCAAATTAGAGAGTACTTTAGGAAGGAATGCTAACCTATAATGGAGATGTGCTATAATCCTTGAAAATGTCAGTCCATAAAGTGATAATATTTCTATGAATGATTCAAATTGATCACTGATTAGCTCAAGTTGAAAGCATAGTTCTTCTATAAGAATAAATTCAAGAGTGTTTTTAAACAGGTTGCTTAAATTTTATACTAAAATAAACCTAATATTACAGTTAACAGCTATACTTACTTCTTATTTTCAACAGAAACCTGTATGTCTTATATACATTGATGATCATTTGCTCTAATACTGAAAATAAATGTGGACAATTCAAATTTATACTAAACTCACTTATTGGTGGTGTACATAAAGTGGCCATAGAGAAAAGAGAAAGGTCCATAGTTGCGTATTTTCCTGAACCTATCCAGATTTTGAGACATTAGAAAGCAATAACAAAGATCTAAGAAAGAAAGAACTCTAAAATACCACAGAAGAAAAGCTAAACCAAGTCTCTTCATTTTGGTTTAGTCATTAAATGTTAGCCCAAACTAAAAAGATACAGTGCTTTAGGAAAGATAAAGGTTTTAAATGTCTTATAAATGGAGAAGTACATTTATAGGACTCATTACTCTAAGAAAAACTATAGATTCAAAAATACAAACCTGCTCCATAAGGGTTTAAATAATTCATAAGTCATAAAGTCCTAACAGTTCTCAGGGCAAGAAAGGGAATTCTGGGGACATTCCAAGCCTCTGAGGCCCGCTCACGGAAGGCGAGCATTCCACAAAGAAAACTCTTTTTCAGAGAGGAACACAAAAGCTAGGACTCATTGTCTGCCCCAGAATGGCGTTTTCTACCCATGCAGACAGCTGTTCATATTCGCAGTTAGGTACTGAATACCTGCCATTCATCAAGACCCATACTGGGCACTGGGAACAGCCTAACTAGAAACAAGAAAAACAAATCCAGGTGTATTCAAATTATCCTTGTTCTTTTCAAACAAATGCGTTCACAGCAAAACAGGAGAGCCTGCCATGTGCATTTCCTTACGCTTATATCTTCACCCACCCTCTTCTCTCTGCTAAGAGCCCTAAGCTGTGCTATTCAGACCAAAGAAAGCAGCCACAGGGAAAATCCCTGAAGGACCATGAAGTTCTCTTCTCAAATCTGCCAGCTTTTAATAATTACGCCTGGTCCTAAACCTGCTCTTCTACTAAACTTTCACCTTACCCAGTTCAAAATGCACCTTCGGTAATGAACGCATTCCAGCCTTCACAACATTCAGGCGGCGCGGTGGGGTCCCTGCTCCGGGACTGAGCGAGAGATCAGCCACGCGCATCCATCCAGGGCTCTTCCATCACTCTCTGTGCTTAGTTTCTACTAAGTTTGGCAGCAGAGGTGTGAAATCATTAAAGACTTTCGGGAAGGACGGGAAGGAAAGAGTAAAGACTTCTCCTCTGAGTTTTGCGGAAACGAGCCATGCGGTCTTTGAGGTGACTTCAGCCTCATCTTCTGACCCGCCAGGCAGGGACGACAAAACCCTACCCTTCTTTCCTCATTAAGCTGTTGTAAGAATTTTTTGATACTACACAGATGGGATATTATTACGAGCCCCCAAGTAGGGGAACTCTGAGTATAGGAGATGATTTTTTAGGCATGTAATAACACAGGCAGAGCCTCAGGCGGACTGTTCACGACATGTTTGGGGAGGGAATTCCACTTTGGGGTAGTGTGCCGGCTTGTCTAGAATTCCTATTTCCAGTAGAAGGTGAAAAGTACGCAAAAGCAACCATTCTAAGGAACCCCAGGAGCAGTGATGTCTCTCTTTTCAACAAGAAACTCAGTGGCTTTGGTTTCTTCCCACTCTCGGCTCTCTTTTCCCTAACGTAATATGTCCCTCCTTTTCCACCAGGGATCACTACACTGTCTCCAGACTTCCTCCTTTAGGCAGGGGAGGCCTCCCCTGTAACGAGGACGAGCCTCTATAAATGCCCGTGTTATCTATCATCACACTTTCTCTATCCAGTCTTCTCATCCAGGGCAACAAACGCATTCTGACCTAACCCTGTTGAAAAACATCCTGAATGGCTCAAAATCCTAGTAGTCAGGCGAGGAGACTGCCTCTCCCACCGCTAGAGCCCAGACCTCTAGTGCGAGTGGGTCAGACAGAGGTGGAACCATGCAGCTACAAGACAAAACAAGAATAGTGGAGGTGGAATTGATCTGGACTCAGTGGATCCGGATCCACGGCTCTTCCACGTTAGGACACGTCTCGAAAGAGACACCTGACATAGTCCATAGCCGACGTGACGCAGAGCTGAGGGGCTCACCTGCTTTGCTATCTGCCGTAACAATCAATGAACTCTGAAAAGAGGTGCCACTTTAAATGACATAGTTATTAAAAAGAGTGCCTATGAGATTAAGGTAAGTGCTATGTACCAAACAAATTCCTATGACCGGTTAGTCCTTACATTTCACCCACACCGATTACTTTTTCAATTCAAATGATAATGCTAATAATAGTTTGTCAAACTGGCAATACAAACACGTATGTAGATTCTGTCCATGAAAACATCCCTCATCTTGAAAATTAAAGTGGAAATGGTATCTTCCTTTAAGGATTTTCATAGAAATAGGTTTTAATAAAAGAGTTGTAATTAAAATCCTTCTCAGGATACAGCGTTAAAGGTTTTTGTCCTTTACCTGGTTAATTTGACAGCTTCCAGCCCCTCGGCGGCTGGCAGAGAAGCCATCTTCAGGAAGACGATGTTGAACGTGCCCTTATCCAGAAATGCTGCTGCCTTCTTGACATCACTGATGGTCACGGTGACTTCTGCTACATTCGAGAAGAATTTCTGTATACTGTCGGCCAGGTACCGGACACTGACATCGCCGACTAGTAAGAGGTCTATTTTTGCCTGAAGAGGAGGAGATAAGAAGCACCGTATGACTAACATCACCTAGAGAAAATGGCATGCACGAGAGAATAAAATAGATAAGGGTGGCAAATAACACAATGGCTGACTGTACAACCGGGCTGAACGTTCAACTGTGAGCACCTCCAGGGCAGGAGCTATTAATTTCACGTCCTTGGTAGTGAGGGTAGTAAATGTACCCGAAGGTCTTGCTACTTTTTAAAGTTTGCCTACAAATACTATTCTACTGTGGGTTTCCCACAAGTTTCTTTCTCATCTTATTAACGACAGGTAGGATTCTTAGGACCCAGTTTCCCAATCAGCCATCCTGCTGGGAAATCTGTTACCTAATGGGAGCGCCAAACTGGTGACTCTTCCAAACTATTTATTTTGATGTAACTAACATCCATTCCAGAGAACAGAGTAAGATCTAAATCCCCAAAGTCCTTTCTCTAAATGGAATAGACTTGCTATGTCAGTCCTAATATTAGGAGCCAAAAAGTATCTTTATTTCCATTTGGGGATTTTTTTCAAGCACATTCAATCAGGAAAAATACGATTTCCATCTTTGCCTTTTATTCTTCTGCTTTATTCTCTACAGCTATTGGACACAGTCCACTAAAAAGCGCAAAGAAAGAGGAGGCCTGAATTAATGGAACAGCCCACAGGCAGGTGGAAATGCCAGGCCATATGCAGGTCCATACGAGAAAACAGATTTGGGAGGTGACCGGATTGAAGCCAGAGGAAATGGGTGAAGGGGCTGGAAGCAGCCACACAGAGAGGGACGGCTTGCCCAGGACTCAGCTCAGAGGGCAGGGCGCCGCCGAGGTGGCCCACCACGGGCCCTCCTTCTCCCGTTAGCCTGCTTTCCCCAGGGTTGGGAGAAAGAATGTGAGGTGCAGGAATCTAGGTGAGCTCAGAGTAAGCAAAGCTTCTGAACGTTTCACTTCCATCCACCTTCTGATTTTCCTCCTTCTTTCCCTAAAAACATAAGTCTTCTTTCACCCATCTCTCCTATTCTGATTCAGTCTGCTCCCTGGAAGCAACCAGTGTCAACAGTTTGGACTATATCCTTCCAGATGATTCTATGTCAATCATATAAATAAAATATACACACATAGGCCTTTTTTCATAAACGGGATATTATATATTTTTTAAGTGAGTTGCTTGTCTCAACACAGTTCAATGATTCCTTAGAAATTCTGGTTCCCTGGGAACACTCTTCCTCATTTTCCAGGCTGTTACAGATTTATTCTCTTAAATATATGTTTTCTATCATTTGTTAGATCATTTGGGGTGGAAAGAAAACCTGCTTGTTGGTCATCTTGATCCAATATTCGTTATTTATGATAAGAACCATTCACAGAACCATTCTCCAAATGCTGGACTTCAGCTTTTAACAATGCTGTGATGAGCGCCTTTGTAAATACATCTTTCTGCAAATAAGCATATATCCTGGAGGCAAAACTGTAAGATCCAGAAATTAAGTTTTTGCTTTTATATTTCAACTTAGCTACTGCCAAACTGCTCTCCCCAAAAGACAGAAAAATTTATGGGCCCACCAAGAGTGTATATGGACATCATTTCCCCAAATCCTTAATCTTTAACATTATTCTCAATCATTTTTTTTTATTTTTGCCAGTATTACGAGCAAAAAAACCCTGAATTTTCCTTTCCATTTACATTTTTTCTTAGTAATCATGAAGTCAGTCTTTTCATCATAGCAGCAGCTTCCATTTCTATTCATTGCATATTCTAGTTGTTATGCCTATTACCTTTGTCCACCTTATTTGCTGTTTATCATTTTCTTATTGCTCTGTAGGAGTATATATAGACTGAATACTACAACTATTTCTTTCTAGCTTGTCATGGCTATTGAATTGGACTATAAGGCCTCTTGTCACAAATAAATATTTAATATTTAGTAACAACCACCAACTGTTTCCTTTATGGATTAAGTGAAATTTGCCTTGCTTTCAAAGCCATCTCTATTTTTAAAATAGGCTTTGTATACGTATTCTAATATTTTCATGGCAGTGTTTTATGGTTTTTTTTTTTTTTGTATTTAGCTTTTTATCCCATTTGGAATTGATTTGGTGATTAACGTAACTTAAGTATCTAGTTTCATCTTTTTCAAATGTAGGGCTAATTACCTAAATAGCACTACTGAATAGGTTAACCTTCTCTCAGCATAACCCCTCAGCATTTCCAAATGCTACCTTTATATATATGAATGAATGACTTTCTGGGCTTCATTCTGATTCATTGATCTATCTGCCTATTCCTAGTTAATACAACACTGTCTAATTACTAGCCCTTTACAGTATGTTTTATATTTGATAGAGCATATGGTTCTGCTTTGCTGTTTTTCAATTTGGTTCTTAGATATTTTCCCACAACTTCTCTTCCAACAGAATTTTAGCATCAGCTTGTCAAGTTCCATCGGAAACTGTTAAAATTTATGTTGTGGTTGCATTTATGTTACAGACTGACTAGGGGATATCATTACAGAATTAAATCTCCCCATTTATGACTCGGAGACTTCAGGTCTTTCTTTATGTGCTTCAGTTTTATCATTACCTTCCTATAGAATTTGCACGTGTCCTCATATAATTATACGTAGATATTTCAAGATAAAAGAACTTCCTATTTGGAAGCTAAGAATTTTAAATCAGAAATGGGTGTTGCAATTTACCAAATGGTTTTTCAGTATCAACATTTTTTAAATCTCTTTTAATCTGTTAAGTAGTGAATTACATTAATGGATTTGGTAATGCCAAGCCATCACGGCGTTGCTGGGATAAACCTATACGTACAGTGTAACAGATTCAATTCCTTCATTTTATTTTAGATTTTGCATCTATGTTCATGAGTGAAATGATACAATTTTGTTTTACTGTATTGCCTTATCAGGTTTGGGTATCAGGATTATGTCAGCTGTGAAGAATAAAAGCTTCAATAATATTCTATGTCTTGAATATTTCATAAAACAGAAATTATCTCCTTCTTGAAATTTAGGTGAAGTATGTCTGTGAAATCTGGGCCTGGAGTCACTTAGAGAGATGGGCTTTGGACTGTCTTTCACAGTTTCTTAATGATTACTACTAGTAAATTTAAGTTTTATAGTTTTAAAAATCCATTTATCTTTTCAAATGTGTATACTTGCATTGAGTTAATCTTTCTAACTAGAGATTTATAATTGTTTTTTTTCTATCTTCTTTTTCCAGTAACGCTTTACAAGAGACTATAGAACTATGTGGTCCAATATGGTAGCCATATGTGGCTATTCAAATTTACGTTAACTAAACAATGACATTTAGCTCAACCACTCAAGCCACATTCCAAGGGCCCAGTACCCACATTGGTAAACGGCTACCACATCCGCAAAGTCTAGAATGCCTCTATCACTGCAGAAAGCTCTACTGGGCAGCACAGCCCTCTAAGGGGTACTCTGTTTCTTCCCCACAGATACATACGTGCTTATGTCCATTCATTGTGAAACAGCTTGCAAGTTCCGTTTACACTTCCATTTTAACCTAGAAGCTAAACACTATACAAAAATATTTTTGATTTTAAAAGAACGGTATTTTTATTTCTGGTTTTAATTTGGCTATTCACTAGGTGACCATTCTTGTCTCAGTACATGGTCAGCACTGAATATGCCCTACATGACTGCTACTTTTTTAAATTTGTGGCTATTTCCTTTGTGCCCTAACACATAGTCAATTTTTGTTAATGTTCCATGGATGCTTGAAAATAATATGTATTTTCTGTTGGCTACATATTCTCTATATATCTTTTTAGACCAAATTTGTTAATTCCTTTCTTATTATTTTAGGTCTACCTTGATCTTTCAGTTTATGAGATAAATGTATTTCTCTAATTAGAGTTTTTGTCAATTTATCGATTTTCTTTAACTATGGACTATTTCTAATTATGGGCAAGATACTTAAACGTTCTTGATAATTACATACAGGCATATATACATAATACTTGATATATACTAATGAATTATAACATATGTGTATATATATATAGTATATTCTATATATATGTTGATAGTTATACATAGAGAAAACTATACACAAAATATGCCATTGTCCTTTTTAATGCTTTTCACCTGAAATTTTTTCTGATATACAGTTTTTCATAAACCAGTTTGAACTCTTCCTATATCATTTTTGATTTTCTGTAAATACCATACTTGCCTTTTACTGTTTCTTTCCACAGTTGGTGACTCTGGTTTTTAATAGAGGAATTTAAGAAATTAATGACATTACCTGACATCTGTTATCTAATTCCATTAATGCTATCGCTCTACTAATTGTGAAACATTTACAACTTAATATGAAATAGTCATACTCCTTTGTTACTTCAGGTTTCCATTCACAGTACTTGTGTTTCTTTTTCCCATACTTCTGTTAGGCTGATCAAGTTTTCCTGTCTCCCTCCTGCTCCTATACTTTGGGAGTTAAACCCCTTGTTTCTATTATTTGAGGGGAATTGGGGCCCACAATCCAGTGCTAGCTTTACCTGGTGAGTATTTCCAAGATTCAAATCCCTCTGTCTCTGAAATGTGAGGACACCAGTCCATTCCCTTTCAGCGACCAGTTGCTGATGAAAAGAAGACGCTGCTTTTTCTTCTTGCCGCTCTCGTCTGTACGCCGTGAGCTCTGACCGTTTTCCCAGGATGTGGGTGGGTATAGATCTTATTTATCCTACTGCGCATTCCGTGGATCTTTGGCTCTGGAAGTTTCCTTCTATTTCTTTGATTATTTCTTCCTCTTTTGCCTTCATGTCTCTGCAGGAAATCTGTTAGATGTTGGACGTCCTAAACTGGCTCAAATTCTGCGACATTTCCTTACTTTTACTTTACTTTTCTTACCACCAGCTCAGTCTTCAGTTCTTCCTAAGATTTTTACAGTTTCATTAAATTTAATATGAAGTGTTCATTTCTAAGATTTTTCTCTCTTCTTTGGTAATTTTTCATAACCTACTGCTTTTAGGCTGTGATATCCTCTCTGAGGATACCAACTGGGGTTTCAAAAGTTTTTTCTACCCCCTTCATAATCTGTCTCTGAAATAGCTGTCCAGTGTCTGCGCATTTATGTCCCATTCTGTTCATGCCTGAGCATCCTTGGTTATCCAAACATAAATATGAATCAAGGACTAAGTTGACACAAGGTCCCCAGTGGCTGCGTCCTTTACAGAGACAACTGACTGTGGGTTTGGTGTGAGTGCTCTGGACAGTGGGAACAAGACAGCCGAGAGGCTGGGACCAGCTGTCCAAACGACGGCAGGGTCACCTGAACATCCAGCACTTCGTGTTTTTCCCTCTTGGGCAAAGCTGCCCTTGGCTTCCTCCACCTAGTCCGTCACAATGGCCTGGGAACGACAAACACCAGGAGCCCACCCCCCATGCAGATTCACCCTGTGTGCTCAGGCTAAAGGAGGCGTGAGTGCGCAGGAGGCCCAGGGCCCGCAGAGCTGCCCCGTCACCAGGAGGGCCGCGTCTGGCCAGTTGGCATCTTGGCCGCTTCTGACATGCAGCGGGACTCCCGAGAATTGGTTCAGCTCTGGCTTTCTTTTCTTCTCTGTTTTTAAAGCTGCGATTTTTCTACTTTTGTTTTAGTGGCAGTTTGTTTCCATTTGCTTTCTAAATTTTAAGTTTTCCTGGGGATTCTTTTTAATGTTTAGAGAGAAGCTGCTTCGCTGAAATCAAGAGCCCCGAAAGGACTGTGCACTGCTTTTGGTCGTTACCTGGCTTTGGACCTTTAATTTGGAACCCACCCCCCACCCTCCGTCTCCCAGCACGTCTCCTTGCTGATGGTATCAGCACACTGCTAAGCACCCCTGCTGTGGGGTCTGGGGTGGATGGGAAGTGGGACAGGGGCCCTCCATCTGCCCTCGGGCACCAGTCCCGTTCACCTGCCCCACCCTATTGTGAACAGGATAGAAATTCAAACCCACGATGACCTCTCATAGCCTTGGAACAGCCCATGTCACCAGCCTCATCTCCTTCCATACCCTACATTCTAAGAAGGCAGCAAAACGCTTTCAAATAGCTTGGAGATTTGGCATTTCTACAGTGGAGATTATCGGCACCCTTGTAGAGTATTTCCTTTTCACTTGATAAACAGTCCTCACTTCCGACAGCTATTTAGGGGCAACGTGGGCCTCGAAGCCCCTGCGATGCTCTGAGAATGCAGACTGGGCACAGAATCCGCCGCAGTTCAGGATTTCTTCTATGCCAACCACATTCACTCGTGAACCAAATGCCAGTCATTAACAAGTGGTCACAAAACAGTGTTTTTTTTTTAAATTAACCTGGTTAACTAAAGCAACACATGAATACCCAAAATTAACCTATCTGCTGCAGATAGGAAGACTATTTGCTTTATAAACTGAGACACTCTTGAAAATAAAAGGGGATGCTAATAATAATCACATTAAAATAACATGTATAACCCAAGGGTGTCCTGGGCAATAACTTGTAAAAGTTTCTACTAGCCGGGTTATTTAAAATTCTCCACCACTTTGCATCTGATTAAATATGGCTGATATTTATTTATTCTCCCCATAGATATTTCTGGAGGCCCTACTACAGGGAATACAAAGTGAACGTTGATGCGGCCCCCGCCCTGGTGGGGCTCACGGCCTAGTAGACTTTTTGCTGCATAAGAAGAGCTTTCGATCTTTGCAACTCAGGAAGCAGAGTGAATGAGCCTCAGTTCTACGAAACTTGTTACTGATGCTTTTTTAACAGCTTGACGCAGTGGGAAGAGTATTCAGGCTTTGGAGGCACAGAGACAACGGTCTGCCGGTCTGCCGCTAGGTCGGCCACTTCCTAGTGGCTTTGCATAAAATTCTTACGTGCTCCCCATCTGAGGAATAATATTTACATCCCAAGGCATATAGGAAGAAGGGTTAAATGTGGCCCTGTGAGGGGGAGGCCTGGTCACATCTAGGGAAGGTGGAAGGAGCAGGAGAGGGGAAAGTGGCCACATCAGGAGGTAAAAATACCCTAAATCAAGCTGCTCCTGGCATTACTGGGCCGATAGGGATCCGGAAACAGGACCTACTGAGGAGGGCAGGTAAGCTTTGAACAGAAGCACCAGCTGCTAACTGGAACCCTGTCCTAGCTGGTCCTGATGCATGCTTCTGACCGCTATCCCCTCGGAGGCTCAGGGCCCTGTTGCCCAGAATCTCTCAGCTGGTCTTGCAGAGAAATGTCGAGAGTAGGCCCTGAAGGGTAGAACACCGGTACTAGGGAGCAAGGAGAACTCCGAGGGGAGGTGCGAGGAGATCCAGAAAGGGTTGGGCGGGCACAGCCCCGCTGGCTGGCCGTTCCACTCGGGAGTCGGAAGTTCTGTGCAGTGCCTGGCACCAGGGCACAGAAGCCCATGAAATAAAGCAGCCCTGGAAAGAACGGGCTTGCGCTCCTGCCAAAGGCTCCCTTTCCTGCCCTACAAAATCAGTGCCACGGTACACTTGGAATGTCAATCACCAGACAAGTTAGGACCCTGCCCTAGGCCACTCTCCCAAGGTCACTCAAATTTGCGAAATAGCTTCTAATCAACTTAAATCTGATTATTCAGTTAAAAATATCTTGACAGTGTAATACAAACACAGGTGATGAGAAGAACCTACTGATAGGATGATACTAGAAAAACGAGTAGGACTCTCTAGTACATTCTGCTTTGGAAAACTGCCTTTTGGTGCATCTAAGATTTCCACCTGTGAGCACAATGCGACCCGATGCTAGGCTTCATTTGGTGGCAAATTGCTTACTGATCCTTTTTTTTATTTTAACAAAAGCAATACATATTCATTGGGAAAGACTGGAAAATTCAAAAAGCCTAAAGGGCAAATAAAAGCGTTGGCAATCCCAGCACTCAGGGATAAACACTACTAACACCTCGGTGTAGACCTTTTAAGTGTGGGCAGTTTTACAAGGCACCATCACCGTCACCAGCTCTCTATCCATTCCGTTTGATGCGTGCATCCCAGGAACACACAGGGCATCCCAGCCTCTACGATTTTTAAAACACTGGATTTCCATTTGCAATCTGTGGCAGACTAAACCCTTAATTAGCAACAGCAGGTGCTGAAGTGCTTAAAGCAAATCACTGCTGCGTTTTAGTGAGTGGTTATTTCTGTCACTCTTATCACCAGGAGCGTGCTGACAATCAGCAGCAGCTGCCTGGGCTGATGCTCTCGCAGGGCAATCGCTGGCCTCCCATTTCCCCAGGAGCCCAGGGATTTAAGCGGCTCTATCTGCAGAAACTGAACACGCTCCTCTTCACATGCAAACAAAAGGTCCGGTGGGGGCTTCAGGCTTTCAGGGTAGGAAGCCCACAATTACACACGTACACTAGATAATCAGATCTTTCATTCAGTTTCATTTAACGCAGCTTTGCCTAATCCTGCACCATGAAATACCGTTTTTCCTTGCAATTTAAGTAGGTGCCCCCATTTTGAAATAATGAAAACCTATTAAACCGGTCCACCTCAAAGTGGTGATAATTGCGTTTCAGAAAGCTTGTGCTCAAGGAGCGGATTCAAGCACGCAGGGCATTCTCAGGACCAACTAAACTCGGGGCAGCCCCGAAGGTGTGCCTCATATTTCTCAAGACACGTGGAAGGCAGAAAAGAAAGCCAACACCGGCTTGCCCCGCTTACTGGGGTGGGTGTGGTTTTATTTATGCTTTCTTCCTAATGGGCCAATAATCACCTTTAATTTTTATCTAAAACGGTCACAGAGTGATTTCGTTGTTCTGCTAAGGGGCTGACAAATTCGGGGCTATTAAAAGAGGCCGGTGGGCCTCCTGCGGAATTGCACGGAGGGTGCGAGGGCGAGGCGAGCAGACGCCCGCTCGCGCCCACGGCTCCGGCCTGCAGGCCCGGAGCAGGCCCGGGGCAGGCCCGGGGCGGGGCGCGCGAGGACCGGAGGCACCCGGGGCCCGCAGGCCGGCGGGGCGGCGACGAGAACGCGGGAGATGAGCTCCCGTGTCCGGGGGGCGCCGCGCTGTCACTCACTCCCCGCGCCCACCCCCCGCTCCCGGCCCACCCGCGGGACGGTCGTCGCCCGCCCCGCGTCTCCGCTCGGCAGGCGTCGGGGGCGGGGGAGGGGCTTTGGCCCCGTGGGCTGTCCCGCTGCGGCCTCGGCCCGCCCGCCACCTGCAGGGGTCCCGGGCCGCCCCTGCCCGCGCCTCGCCGCTTACCTGGCCTCCGGCGGCGCCGAGCCCCCGGCCGCTCACTGGGGCCGCCATGGCGCGTCGTCCAGGTGCCGCCCCGGGCGGCCTCCCCGCAGACGCTCGCCTCGCGCCGCCCGCCCGCCGCGCGCCGAGGGCCTGGGGGCCGCACCTGCGGGCACGCGCCCGGCCGCGCTTAAAGCGGCCGCTCGGGCCCGGCCGTCGGGGCCGCCCCGCCGGCGCCCGCAGCCCGCGCCGCGCCAGCCGGGGGCGCGCCGCCTTCCGAGTGCCTTGGCGGAAAGCGCTCAGGCTTAACTGTGCACAGTTAGCACGCAGGGTTTGTTTTCTTTTTGTCTTTTTCCCAAATACATGCAGAGGATGGGGAGGCGGGTGCTGCCCCGGTGTTTCCAAACCACGAAGAAACTGACAGTTTTAGAAACATTTCATTTTGTCCCGTGGCTAAACGCAGCTGTCGAGAAAGCGGGGCCGTGAGCGAGGGCGCGGCGCCGGCGGCCGGCCCCTGAGCCCCGGGACGGTAGGGCGGGTCCCTCCAGGCTCCAGATCCTTCCACCGCCCGGGCTGGGGGAGGGGCGGCCTCCCACGGTGTCCAGCGCTTTGGGTTTGCCTGGACGCCTGATTTCACTCGGACACGTCGTAAAACCAGCTCCGCCGGGAACGACCAGCGCCCCGTCCCCGCCGAGCCCCCGGCTTCCCGGCAGGCGGACCTGCGCGCTGGGAGCCTGATTTCGAGCACGAGAACGTGCAAAAATACCGTCGTGGTTCTCTGTGATGTCGGTGGGGAGAAAAGGTGCAAAGTCACTTGTGATGGGATCATTCTGGAATAGTCTTGGAATTAAATGTACAGGTTCTGATAGATACGATCTTTGGCTCTTTATTGCTTTTGCAACTAATCCGGCACCAAGAGTATCCAGATAAACGTCTGCGAGGCGGAGAGTCCGCTCCCCAACCCTAGGCAAAGGGTAGTCACGCCCAGGCCCCGGGTGACCTGGAACAGAGGCAGCGAGGAGCGTGTCCCAGCCGCGGGGTGCGCAGGCACTCCAGGGGGCTGGCTCAGCACGTGCCCCAACAACAGTGGGCAAGGACGTTGCTGGCACTGACGCGGACTCATTGCTCTTAGATTTGAGGGGGAAATGTCCCTAAGTTCACGCAGAGGGAATGATCATGTCTGTGCTGGAGGAAGCCACAAAAGATAACAAATCTCTCCTGTACGTAGAATGTAAGATTCCACACTTCATAAGAATCAACTTAGATATTTTAATAGTTTCCATTCTCCGAAAAGAAAAGGCAAGCTTACTTCATAAATAGTAATGTTACTAACAGAGCAGCTCATGGATATATTATTAAAACCAAATGTAATAATGACAACTCAGGGCTTTCTGGGATGTTTTTTAAATCATAAATAAAGCCACTAGATATTTTAGGGTTACCTGAGAAAATTACTTTTATACAAAGGAAGAAACTTCTGAAAGAGGAGCAAAGAGAAACTCGATAGTGCTTATCTAGTTCATTCCCTGAAAAATGTGTTCAACACTAACTTTGTGAGTATTACAGATGAGAAAAGGAAGAAATGGAAATCTACCCAGTTTCTGCAATCACAGACTGAGTTTTGGTAGACGGTTTGACATTGAACTCTTTTTCACTGGTCCTCTCTTCCCATTCATTGTCTTCTGATTAATCGGACTTCTTCCCCTGAAATAAAATAAGTATTAATTATGGTTTTTCAGTTGCCAGTGTATACAACAGAAATGTTATATGCTACATAGGGGAATTGCATATTGTACCAAGATCCTCCAGCCCACAGTCCCTCACAAGGAAATCTCCGTGCCTATAGGACATTCTTAGACATATGTTATACTGTGTCGTCACTACGGCTCAAGGGGAAATCAGGTGAAGGGTGGATCACCCAAACCCCCAGAAACAGCCCCTGAGGTGGTCTCGTGTAGACAGCTCAGTCCAGAGAGGGATGAAATGGACCATTCTGATACTTGCCTCTGGAAATATAAATTGAAGCTAAGAAACTATATAGAGAGAGGCCATGAAATAGAGCAGTGACAATAAAGGAATAAGGATCCATGAGTAAACCGGAGATATGTTACCTAAAATTATAATTAAGTTGAAACTATGATATACCAAGGTGTATGATATAAAAGAGATAAAGAAGATGAGGATGGCAGTTGGTAATGAGGAGAAAAGTGAAGTAGAGACTGAACTGGTGGTTGATTGTAATACAAATAATAACGGTGACGATTTTATAGCACATGATCTGAGTTGGGGACTGTTTTGAATTTTATGTATTCATTTATTTATTTTATTTATTCTTGTCAACTTTATATAATCCCTATGATGCAGGTACAACTATTAGCCCTGTTAGATAAGAAAAACAAGATTACATAGTTGCTAAGTGGATCTGGAGTTTGAATACAGGAAGGCTGACTTCAAAGTCTATGCCTTTAATTACTATTCTACATGGCAGACCACTAAAAATCTATGACCTTCTGCAGAGGTCTTTAAATCTTTCTTGAATTTTAATTCTAGTATCTGTGGGTTGTGATATTGGAATCCCTGTTCTTGGATTTCCATGAACCATGCTTTCCTTACTGTTTTATGTATCTTTATAAAGCCACTGCCCCACCCTTGAGATAGTAAAAGTCAGCTTTGATTCCCTGCAAGTTGCTTTTTAAATGTATTTTACTCAGGGAGTGATGTCAGCAAAAATGACAGAATAAGGACCTCTGAAAATTCTTTCCTCCATAAAAGTAGTAAGAATATTGGCAAAAATGGTGAGAAGCAACTTTTTCAGAACTCTGGAAATCAACCAAAGGCTTGTAGAAATCCTGGGAATTTATTAAACACACTACACATACACAACCGAAATTCAGTAAGAACACTAAGCTTTGTAAAAGTTCCGCTTGCCTTTTCCCAGCTCTGTGGTATCACTGTGAAAACAACTGACAAATAGTCAAATAGTCAAAAGTTGTACACATCCCAAATGTCCATCAGTTGGTTAATGGCTAAACAAAAGGTGGCCCATCCAAAACATGGAATAGTATACAGCCACAAAAAGGAATAAAGTATTAATACCTGCTCCTGCATGAACGAAGCTACAAAACATTAAGCTAAGTGACAAACAAAGTCAGACACACAAGGGCACATATACTTTGCCTCCCCTTACATGAAATAAAAATAATAAACAAATCCATAGAACTTCACTCCTAAACTACAGTCTAGTGATACATATGGATGTGTGTTAATACATGATTAGAATGAAGAAGTTTTATTTTTATTTTCAAAATATTTCTGCCTCCACTATTTAAGCAAATTTGATCAAGATACATGATATCTTTTTAAAGAAAAATGTAAAAATAAAAAATAAATACTTAGGGTGATCATGTAGAAAGAATTAGCATGGTAGGCCTCAGGCTGCTATCCTTAGAAAGGCCTGCTTGCAAGGTGGCCCTTTGCTGGTGTCTGGGAACTTAGAGGTAAACAGTTCCCTACACTGACATAAAACATTCCTTAAGTGAAAAGAGCGGCTCCCTGTACCTAAACTGTACAAATATCATGGTCTATGTGAGTATCTGTTTTCCTTCCAGAGTCTAAAATTTTCATATGTGCTAAGCAGGGGGTACTTCCATGACCAGCACCCAATAAAAAACTTGGGCATTAAGCATCTAATCTGTTTCCCTGGAAGATAAAACTTCACATGTTAGCACACATGTCATGACTCATTGCTATTGTCCTAAGTCTGTTTTTTTGTGGCTCCATGGGTGACTTTTAGAAGCTTGTGCCTAGTTTCTCTCAAGTTTTGTCCCATGCCTTTTACCATTGGTGATTTTGCTTTGTATCTTTTCCCTGGAATAAATCTTAACCATGTGCACAAATACATGCTGAGTCCTGTAAGTTGTTCTTGCAAATCAGTAAATAAGGGAGTGGTCTTGTGATACTCAAACACAGAGAGAGATGTAATAGTTTTAAAAGGGAAGTCTTTTTCCAGAATTTAATGTTTTAACTACATTATTTTTCCATTGATGATAATGTATTATAATTTAAAGTATTTATCACTACTCAAGAAAGAGTACACTTCTATCCATCTAGATACATATTGGACAAAATGTTGCTATCCCATGAATCTCCACCAAAGAAACTTGTTATATTGTGTACACCTTGAACACCTTATATTTGAAAATAATTCTGATTTATAGCTAATTTATATCTTGGTTTACTTTTTTTTTATATTGCTATATTAGAATATATTCCCCTACATGAAATAAGGTTATGTAAGACAAGGATTGCCTGACTGATTCTTCTGTACTTTGTTCAAGACCAGAAAAATTGTGTGTAAATGTGACCTCCCAAATCCATAAAACATTCCTCTGTTCTTTATTCATCCTAAACTGTTCTTGTTTACATAGGAAGACATAATTTAAACTGTACTGTCATCTAGATTTGTTTCAGTGTCCATATTTCCTCACCAAAAAAGTTAAGGCTGATAATTTACTTTCACTTATAGTGTTGCTAATGGTGTGATTCTAAGCTCTCTTTGGGTTCATTATTGTTTTAGGTTAAAAAATAAGAATTATTCATGTTGGAGGACAAAAAAAATGTTCCTGGGATCTACAAAAACATATATAAATAGAGAATGGAGAGCACAAACATCTTTATATTCTCCGACCATCTGCTATTTTATATTGTTGCTATAAAATCTAGAAGTTCAACTTCCAAAATATAATGGACACCTGGTTTGTTAGTATCATTCACATGCAAATATAATTAGTTAGAAAAAAAGATATAGTTAGACTTACATTTTCACTAGATTCTCTTTCATTCTAGGCAGTTGATCCATCTGTTGCCTTTTAGAAACTAGGTATGAGCCAGAGACCTGAAATGCAAACATTTGAGCATTTATCCTCTTATTTCATGATTGATTTAAGAGATTATGAGGAACAGTCTATTTCAATGAACTCTTTCATAACCAGGTCTTTTAGTAGCATGTATAAGAGAAACTAAAGAAAAATGGGAAATTCTGGCCGTCTTCAGTATTATAAGGCTTCTCAAGATTCTGAAAAACCCCTCAATCTCAACCCCAGAGTCCATGCAATTTTAAAAATAGACAGGAAATTGTGAAAATCATATCATCCATGTAGTATAGATCATTAAAAGTTTTTAAAATGGACACTAAATATAAATTTATGCAGTCTGCCATTAAGGTTGATAAAATGATAGAAGCTGTAGGTATGCTGAAATGGAAAGAGAAGGTGATATTTTCTATTTTTCCTTTTTTGAAATACCTCCAGGGTACAAAGGTGGAGACTTCTTGTGGGTGGTGTATCTATAATCTGCAATCCAGGAACAGTTGAGGCTGGTGACCGTAGCAACGGCGACTGAAGCCGTGAGTACATGAGATTGTGCATTAAGAGCACACACAGAAGAGAGCTGATGACATAAACTTGGGAAAGCAACCTTTAAGGGGCAGGAGAATCACTAAAGCTAGACAAGGTCGTCATTGAAACACTAAGGAGACCCAGGGTAAACATACTGTCGTGGAAGTCAAGACGGGGCTGGCGGGTATACTTTAAAAAGTGAACCTAGGTAACAGTTGTGAAATGCCTCAGAGATGTCTACTACCAGGGGGCTTGAAGAAGAGTCATTGTATCTTAACCATTAAGAGAGAAATTGTGTCAGAGCCCCCCGGCGGGTGAGAAGGAAGCCAGCGAAAGAGGCCATGGAGGGGCAGCACAAGCAGGGGGCACACCCCCACTTTCACTGAGTTTGGCTGAGAACAAGAAAGCAAAGGTGGCAGTTTTATGAGGAAAGTCAGAGTAAAATGAAAGTTAGTTTGGTTTATTATTTTAGTTTGTTTTATTTTGGTGGGAGAGATGAGCATGTTGTAAACAAAGGATAAGCCACAGCCAATGGGAGAGACATTCATGTAAGGGGAAACAACAATTAAGTCCTGGAAGCAACAGGTAGACTTGGGAAGAAGTTTGGGACCCTTTTTCTTTAAGTCAGGAGGAGGAAGAGGGGGAATACGTTTGTAGGTAAAGGGGAAGACAGCTGGATTGCACGCACGACGAGCTCTCTTCTCTTTGTGAACCTGAACCTGTTAGATGGTTTATTTGTTAAGAGTGACAACTTTGGACCAGAAGATGGAATTCACTCAGCGAATGTTACTGAGCATCTACCATATGCCCCCACTAGACCAGACACAGGGGTTGAAGACAAGTTATGGTTCTTACAGCCTTTTGGGGGAACACCGGAGTGAACAGCGCATACAGCTCACTGCCTGGGAGAGGTCTGCGCGGCACTGTGCAAGCATTCAGCAGATGCATGTGATTCAGGCTTTGGGGGCTCCACGTGGAAGAGCAGCCGACTGGGAGCCAAGGAGAGCCATTCTCGGAGGAGGAGCCCAGGGGCTCGAAGGTACGAAGCAGCGTGACAGACACAGGGGTCGCATGTGCTGCTGGTCCGGCTGCCGTACGGGCTGTGAGCAGGGCCGTGACTGAGAGGCAGGCGCTGGAGTCAGAGGGGACCTTGTAAGACCGCACCTTTGCTGAATCCTCACGCACTGCAAAGTCACGGAAGGTTTTCAACAGGACGCCACCGTAGTATCTTATATCAGAATGATATTTCTGGCAGCAGAGGAGAAAAATTAGTATGTTGGGGACAGGATTTTAATAGCTATGCTGTTGAGATTATATTTCAAGTCTAGATTTCAATCTGGGGAGCTCTATTTTCAAATGAACAGTGACAAAATACAGTTGTCCAAAAAGGAAACAGAAATAGCTGCTGGGGAGTCTGAGACCTATGGCATGAGGAATGGCTACTATAACTTAGTATTTTAGCTTAGGGAAAATAAAACTATGGGAAGAAAGAATTGTTTATACATCTTTGAAAAGCTGTCATATAGAAGGAAGAATGTAGAGCTGTTCTGAGCTCTCGGAAGGACAGAAATAAAACCAATGGGTTTTAAGAAGTTTCAAGGAAGGAGAATAAGGAGCATCACATGATGCTTTAATAATTCTAAGAGTTAGAATTGCTAACAATGGAGCAGAATGGGCTCAGGTTCCGTATCTGTAAACTGAAGGGTTACATTCAACACCTTTCCACTCCGATGTTCAGGGAACTAGAACTTAAGTTCATTATATGTCGCAACAGAAGTAATGGAGTTTATCTGTACACTTTTCAAAAGCAAGGTCCGTACTATACACACACCGTAAATTAGAAGATTCCTGAGAGGCAGACACTCAGTTACAGTCACAACAGGAAGACAACAAAGTATGAACAGCAGACCCAGCAAACAGCTCTCGTCATTCATCTGCCAGAGGATCAGTCATTTATGTATTCAGCGTGGTAAGAACCACAGATCATCCGCTGCCCTTTCTGGGCACCAGAGCATCCCCACAGTCAGAACCGTTGTTGACGACAAAGATTAACAATTCACTCTAGAGTGAAAATCCTTATTAACATTTATACTGGGGAACAGGATTAACATCTTCCTGGGGAGCTGTTAAAATAGGCTTTGATTGCATGTTCAGTGATCCTGTATAATCAGAGTAGGAACTATTACACCTAAATGAACTTTTCAGATAAACAAAGGCAGAGGAGGAGGGGTAAGGCAAGTAGGAACTCCGATGCCCCTGCCACAGAGAGAGAGGCTAGGGAGACCAGGGAAGGAAAACAGGAAAATAATAGTCACTGTTTCCTGGGGTTTAGAACTTTCTACGTGCCGGGCATTTCACTCGGCACTTCACATACATATCTATCTCTAAACACTCACAAATCTACTATTATTTCCCTTCCACAAAAGAGGAAAGAAATGAAGGCCCAAAGAGCTCACAGCCCAGTAGGTATAAAGCTGGGATTCCAATTCAAATTTGCAATGACTCCAAATCTATGGTCTCTCATCATTTCTTGGCCTCAGAAAGGAAGTAGCACTTTTGCTAGACGTCGGGGGAAGTAGAGTTGGCGTGTTTCATGAAAAGCAGCGTATTCCAGGTGGATTCGCTGTCTGAGGAAAGACGTGAAGGTGTCTGAGCTGCAGGGGGAGGCCGTGTTCCGGACCAGCTCTCCGGGACCATAAAGCAAGCCAACTGACTGTCCATTTCATGGGTGAGAGGCTACATGGCGTGGTGCCGTTTTGTCCCAATTTCCTGCTTAACATTAGTCAGCGCTGAAAGCCCACGCCTCCCTTCACCCACTATTGCCCTGGCTTTATGCAGGGTGAAAAGGATCCCCAATCCTAACGCCCTTCCTCAGTCTTTTAACTGATCGTCTGGAGACTCCAGATCAGTGATTGGCAGACCACCCTTAGGTTGGCGCCAGCCTTCCAGGCCCCCCACCCCGACCCCCACCCTCACCAAGCTGTGTCCTGAAGACGCTAAGCCTCTTCCTGGCTCTTCTTCCCTTGACTATCACTGTTTAAATTCTTCCGAGATGTATCCTAGTCTTGTCTTTTCTCTCCCTGTGTATTCGCCTTTATGCATTTCATTCATTCTCATGGCTTCATTTACTATCCACATGTTAATAATTTCCAAATCTGTATATTCAATCTTTATCTTTTATTTCTTAGATTCATATATCTCACTGCTCTTCAGACACCTCCACTTGCATTTCAAAGACTGAACCCCTTTCATAGTCTTAAAGCACATACCAAAATAAAGTTAATAAGAATTAAAGATTTAAGTGTCAAATATTAAACATACAAGAACTAAAAGAAGATGTGATGAATGTCCCGAAACACTGAGATGAAGACAGACTTTTTAAACTATGACATCAGAAGCCACATATAAAAGATAGCTCTGACAAGATCAGGACAAAACTCTGTGAAGCCAACATCATAAATAAAACAGGCAAATGAAAAAAACTACAGAAAATATGTGCAACATCTTTCATAACTTTCCTGTCCTGTCACTTCTCAGTCACACTTTGCTATCCTGTATTTATAAGTACACCCTTCTTAGCAGTAGCAATGCTGTATCTATCTTGGACCTCACTGTGCATAATTGTGAAATAAAATGCCTTGAATTTCATGATATGAAAGGAATATCTGATAACCTGTTTGAATTCCAGCAACTGCTGATCAAATAAAAAGTATATCTAAGGGGGAAATACTCAAAATATTCTCTTGATTTTGGGTCTACCTTTTTATAAAAGTTATATATATATTTCCTTTTCACCCTGCATTTTGAGAAACGTGGTACATTTTCTCCCATCATTCCAACATCTGATTGTCTACCAAAGTAAACGATCAAAAACTTAGAAAAGTGAAAAACATAATTTACTGTTAGAGGATACACTTAGAATTTGGAAGTAAAAACGTAAGTGTTACCTGAGACATTTCCGCTAGGTGTGCGCAGCGCTCACTGCTGGTAAAGTAAAGATTCCAACATCAGCAAATATTTGCAATACTGGCGAGACTATCACCAAGTTATGTCTATGCTGTTTTTTTTAAAGTAATGTAGGAAATCGTTTTCTAAGTATTTTGCGGTAATTATATAGTGGGTCTGTAGAGAGCGCACTAAAAATCGTGGCAGTTTCAAGGGAATTTCTTTGTGTAGAATAAAAACAAACCTTCAACTCTTGTTCTTCTCTCTGTGCGTTGCCTTTCACTTGACTTTCAAGGCTCCTTTTTTCTTTTTCTAGCTGTTTAAGTAACATAGTCAAGGATTCCTGAAAGTATAAACAGTACATTTTTACACATTTACATTCTAAACAACAGTAAGAAATGACTGTCAGTTTCTTCACTGGCAAGTGCCTTCTGCCCCATAACTTTCTGTGATTTCAAAATTCTATAAAATGCACCTTCTAAGTAATAATAATCATCATCATCATCACAATAAATTGAACACTAACATGCCATGTACTGTGCTAAGCGCTTTCTGCAGATGATTTCATTTAATCCTTGTTACAACCATGGAGAAGCTAATATGCTTATTTTCCCTTCACTGTTGAGAAAATTGCATCTGATAGAGTTGAGTAACTGGCCCAAAGACACACAGATAATAAACGGTAGCTCTGGAATTAGAACTTAGGTAATTTGACTCCAAAGGCCACACATGCTGAACAGTTACTACGTATGTGTTCATACAGTTGCCACCTGTGCAACAAAAGAATGGTGAAACACGCAGTAAGTTTGATGACCAGAACTGTGAGGATACTGCACGGCAGGACCGTTCTGGAACTGAGACCTCAGCCCAGAGGACCCCTCATCACAAAATGCAGGAGCTGAGGAGATTAGCCACGTGCCAGAGCAACAATGCACTACCCCGGTTTGGTGTAAATTTTTCATCATTAAACTAATAACTGGTCATTTTCAGTAGCTGCAGTTATTTCTCATATTCTTACCCATTAAGGTTAAAAAATCTCCAAGTCGAATTCTATACAACTCTTGCTGGTCATGATGTAGGTCGCGGAATCTATTAAAAGAAACACTCAAAGAAAATGGAAGGAGCTGATTTAAATCTCCACAAAGCAAAACTGCAAGAAATTTTAGAGCTCATTCCCCCCTCTTGACAATCCTCTAAAAACTTCACTTCTTCTCTGAGATTCTTGGTAGTAATTTTTAGAATATTAAAATTTGTATTAATAGAATAATTAGGTCAGCTGAAACAGTGCAAGCTCAGGTCTCTAAAAATAACACTAGCGTTAAAGCAAATCCCTTGGAAGTGGCAATTCTTCACTATGGATATTTAATTAACACTCCTGCTGAAACATAGCTGGGCAGTACTTCTCAGGCAGGCATTGCTTGTCTTCAAATATTGTGCACTAGCTTTATAAATGGCCTTAGGTCCCCATCCCCCAAGCACAAACTTGCTCCAGAAGAAAATCAATGAAAGCCCTACAAATGTAAAAGGCTAAACCAAGTTCCTTTATAGAAAATTAAGCCCTTATGAAATAGACCACTCCTCAGGTATAAAGGGCTTTTGAAGGGATAGTCAGAGAGTGATGGAAGCAGCTCAGAATTTCGCTGCATAGACCCTTGCTCAGAGGGGTCCAAGCTCAGGCTGCCATGGCAACAGGGTTCAATTAGATCATTGGTTAAATATTATTTTTGAAGATGTAAAAGAGAATCTAACCCTCTTTAATATTGTTTCAATGGGAATATGCACTCTAAGTTCTAAAAGAAATGAGCTTACAAATAAATTATCAGAATACAATTATTTTTGTAGTTAAGATGACCTGACTGAGATATGAGCCAAAACTCTAGAAGCTCACACAAGAAATGTACATATGAAAGAGGTAAAAGTCAAGTCAATACGTGATTAAATGCCAAAATGTGAAACATAGACAATAAATGCTTTGCAAGTTTTAAAAGAAGATGATCATGTGCGGGAGCGTTCAGGGCCCCCAAAATGGGAAGGATTTTGATGGGCAAAAAAGAGATTAAAACAAAAAAAGAGGGAGATACAGAAGCTTTGTTGATCATAGACCTGAGTCAGAAATGATTATTTAGTGGTAATGACAGAGCTGAAGCAAAACATTTGAGGAAAAAATAAGAGGAAAGGTAACTAGGGAAGGACCTGGTTATGGAAGACTTAGAATAGAGGCTTAACTGCTGGAGCCATAAGCTGTTAAAAAAGTGATGTGATGAAAGCAGGGGTTAGGAATATTAATCAAGTGGCAGTTTCTATGACAGAAAGATGTTTTCTTGTATTTGTTGGTATCAATTTGTAGTCATAACCCTTGAGGCTTAAACTTTTTAAATATGCTTTGTGTTAGACTATATCTTACTGCTTTTCTCACCCTAACTAGATTCTTCATCTTGTCACCTAATTTTACAATTCATTAATTGATTCAAAAAGTATGCATCTAGCCCCTCCTATGTGCCAGGAATTGCGCTAGGGATGCCACAGTGACAATTACAAAACCAGACCCTGTGCTCAAGAAACTGAGTGTCTAATATGGTTTATGTTGGTAAATGTTACATATAAACTTGAGAAGAATCTGTATTCTGCCGCTGTTTGCTAGAATAGTATATAAATGTCTATAAATGTCAATAGATTCAGTTGATTAATAGATTCAGTTGATTAATAGTACTCTTCAGGTCAACTATATCTTTACTGATTTTTCTGCCTTTTGGTCTATCAATTACTGATGGGGGAGGAAGGTGTTAAAATCTCAAACTTTAAATAATGTATTTGCCTATTTTTCCTCCAATAGTTCACCAAAACTATTTCAGTGTTCCTACCAGCTTATGTTTCTAGCAGCTTCTCTTTCCAAAAAAAAATTAGTAATTGGATTTGTCTGTTTCTAAAGATTTCAAGGTTGGAGTTTGGCCTGCACAGTCAGCTCTCGAGTGGGTCGAGAAGAGTCATTGATCTCCAGGTTATCAACCTTTTTCTCATTGTAATCACAGGATCGATGGCTTCCAAGCAGTATACATACTGGAGCTGAAACCAGAAGTCACCAAGTGTTGACCTTTCCCAATTGGAAGGAAAGAATGCATTCACCAAATCAGTGGATGCATACCAGATACCTGAATATTAGTCCGCTCTAGTAGTGGTACAACATCTCCAGCCTGGAAAGACATCCTCAAGCTGTAGCTAAATTGAAGTCTCCACGAGAAATTAACCTAAAAATATTACATAAACACAAAAATTAATTTTCCTACTGTCATAGAAGAGCTATTATGTTTTGGTTTTGACATTAGTCAGTTCTTGGCATTCCAAGCTGTATCCTATGTTCATGTCTTAATTTGCTTGTAAAAGGTTACTTTCTAACAGTAGTTTGAAACAACACGGTAAAAGTAAGAAATTTCAGGTTACTGCTTGCATAGCTAAAATCACATATACTTAGGTTTTCTTTTTTAAGTCCCTTCCCTCTATCCCAAGTAGAAAGGACGCTCTATTAGTCGCCTATTTTTTAAAACAATGGTAATTGCTAAAGAACACACAGAAACTACAAGTAAAGAAAAATCACTCTATTGAATGCTTACAGGAGGAAAACATGAGACTCCAATTAATCACAGCTCCTAGATGGGGAGCACTTTCCACTGGAGGCCACTGCAACTATAAATCAACACAGCACCCTGCAGGCCTAATGCCAAGTGCCCCCTTGTGGGCAATGTTGTTATTAGATGTATGTATAAAATCTGTTCACTTCTGAGTTGAAGGGGCACCTGTCTCTAAATTAGCTACTCTGGTCTTTGGAGAGAACACAAATCCGGTGCGGGCTTTGGCAGAATACCTCAGCAGGCGGTCTCACTTGGTTCTAGAGATCCACTTCCTGCTTCGTTTATATCACATTCTTGAGAATCCAAGACCCCTTCAGGAACCCTTTCACTATATGGCTGATACATCATTTTAGTCACATGTGTATTATGGACGGCAACAGTACTCTAGGGTCCTTATTTTTAACTCCTGGTTATCAGGTTCTAAAATGTATTCTCATGACTTAAAAAAACAAAATTTCTAAGAATGTTCTGAAGGTAGAAATAAATGACCAGAGTGAGCCCAGTGAGAACATGACTGATGGGATGCTGAAGTGCCTTAATGGTTCCCAGGAAAATCCAAACATTTTGGATGTTTGTCCAGGACCCCATGAAGCAGTATAATTAAAAGGAGAATCTGAATCACAATAAAGGAAATCACAGTCAGGAAAAAAGAATGGAGCATCAGGATGAACAAAAGAATAGGACAGTGAGTAAAGAGGTCAGAGGTCAGCATGTGGGACACAAATGGACCAGAATAGAGAATGAGGAGAGAAGGATCTTGCTTCTTTGAAGGGCCAAGTGTGTGATAAAGAGACCAGCCCAAGGTTTATCGCAGCATATTTACAATAGCCAAGAAATGGAAGCAACCTACGTGTCCATCAGTAGATGAATGGTAAAGAAGAGGTGCTACATATACACAATGGAATACTATTCAGTCATTAATAGAAAATAAATCCTCCCATTTACAACAACATGGATGGAGCTAGAGGGTATTATGCTCAGTGAAATAAGCCAGGCAGAGAGACACAAGCACCAAATGATTTCACTCATCTGTGGAGCATAAGAACAAATCAAAACTGAAGGAACAAAACAGCAGCAGACTCACAGACTCCAAGAAGGGACTAGAGGTTACCAAAGGGGAGGGGGGGGGGAGGGAGGAGGAGGGGATTAAGGGTATTATGATTAGCACACATAATACAGGGGGGTCCCAGGGAAGGCAGTATAGCACGGAGAAGACAAGTAGTGACTCCACAGCATCTTACTATGCTCATGGACAGTGACTGTAGTGGGGTGTGGGGGGGACTTGATAATATGGGTGAGTATTGTAACCACGTTGCTTATGTGAAACCTTGATAAGATTGTGTATCAATGATAACTTAATAAAAAAAAGAAAAGAGAGATAAACCAGCCCAGTTGTCTAGAAGAACTTTGTATGACTTAAAACCATCTCTTCCTTCAAGCCTCTTTGGCTAAGCAGGGCCAGGAGGAGTTTTCTGGTTTGTCCTCAGGAACTGCCGGCGTTCAAGGATGGTTTGGCGTTGTGCGTGGGAAGACCCCCCTCCCACATACTTAAACACACTGGAGTGGGGTCCAGAAACCCAGACGGAGCTGTACTACTATTACTGCTGTGTATAATGTTGTTATTGTTATATATGTAGGAAAACACACCCTTGCAAATTGTGATCCTAAATGCTAAGCCAGTTCCGTAAGTTTAGTTTTTAACAAATTAAACATTTCCTAAAGTGCTACTAAGATTATATTCATAAGAATGTATTCAAGGGTTGAGATTCAGCACACTGGCTTCCTATGAATTGATTTTCTACAAATCGACCAAGAGTCCTCCAGAGACTAAAAGTATTTTCCTAAAGGACCTCTGTTTCTATGCCTTCTCCCTCGTGCCTCCGTCAGCAGAGAGCCTTGTCGCCTCTGAAAGTGGGCTCTCCTGTGCCATGCCCATGTGACTGACAGAGTGCACCCTGCTGAAAGGCTTCCTGGGAAGTCCAAGCTGTGTGTGTGTGACGGACAACAACGGGGTGGGCACTGAAGAGGAGAAGGACACGGAAATGGAGGTGCCGCGGTCTGAATGTCTGGGCCCCCTCCACACTGACACACTGAAATCCTAATGCCCCGGGTGATGATAGACAGTATTAATTGGTTGGGCCCTTGGGGGTGCTCAGCCATAAAGGTGGAGCCATCGTGAATAGAATTAATGCTCTTACAAAAAAGGCCCCACAGCACTCCACAGCCCCTTCCACCGTGTGAGGACGCAACAGCAGGCAGCACCTAGGAACCAGAAAGCCCACTGTTACCAACCACTCTTACCTGCTGGCGTCTTGATCCTGTCTCCTGAACTGTGAAAAATCAGTGTCTACTGTTTATAAGCCACCAAGTCTGTGGCATTTTTACAATAGCAGCCCAAACAGACTAAGGTAAGGGGTCATCAAAATACGACTCCGAATGAATCAAGAAAGAGGACACCCACTTTGCAACGGAGTTGACCACAGCCGTGTGGCGGAACCTGTTGGTAAAGACTTTATAGTAACTCTTGGCGCAGAGAGGCTGTCTTGTACACCTTTCTCTGATGGATATAGATCCCCTAATCTGTTTTATTTTCAAATTATGCTTTGCAGTCGAACCTATTGAGATGCTTGCTAAAACATTCAAATGTCCAGACCTTACCCCAGACCTACCTACTGAGAATCTCAGGGGGTAAGCAGAATGTAGCTTTAAATAAATTACCCATGTGATTCTTATCGGATTTGAAAAGGAAAGAACCACAGCTCTATGTATCAACCAGCAACCGGATGGTACAGGCAGTGGGAAGTGGGGGGCCATCACCTTTCCTGTTATGGCACAGCAGCACAGGCGCTAAGCTTGCGGGGGCCTAAATCAGCTAATCTAGGAAAGAAGACATGACCGCCATATGCCAGCAGGGACAGAAGTGCTGGAAGAACTATGTGTGTGGCTGTGTGCCGGAGGCCATGAAGTTCTGACAAAAGCTCAACTGAATCCTTGCTTCACATTCTAAATGGAGATTCATGAAGACATCTGGAGCGCCAAGTCAAACCTGAAAAATAGCTTCTGCGCATCAGAGACCACACGGTGTAATTATCCTTAACTTTTCTTTATTTGGAATGCTTAAAACAGATTGTAGTCATCCAGTGAATGGCTACAGATCCTGGCTGGAAACACCTGGAAATTCTTGGAGGGAACATTAGACAGGCACTAGATTCTTTTTCTGGTGGACACAGACAGGAGGGGCTAGAAAAGGTATGCCCTGCTCGTCCAAGGGAAGTAAAGGTTCTGTGCTTTTTATTAGAAGTACTAAATCCCCACTGAGGACCCTGCTTTCTGGACAAGCACTAAGGATCACTGAATTACACTGTAGTTTTAAGAAGGCACTAGAAGACTCATAAATTGTATGAGTGGAGTTTAATAAGTGAAAACAGATTGCACATCTTTGGGCCTTACTCCCCGCCTCCTTCCTCCCAAAGAGATCAAGGTTAATTTCACAGCAGACTTGTTTTAATGAAATGTTTCTTCTCCTGCATCAAGGGGAGGGAGGGAGGGAATCCTGCTTACATGTCAGGCACTAGGAAATCTACTTTGTGCATCTCTAACAACCTTCACCACACCTTGCAAGAGAGCTTAATTAACTCCATTTTACAGATGAGGAAATTAAGCATCAGTCAGAACCAGGAGAGTCTAATTCCAAAAGCCATGCTTCTAAGTAAAATAGGTAACACTCACTCCATTTCCCCACTCCTACTTTCCCACTACACCACATTTTCCCCCAGTACCCTATCTTCTAATTGGCACTTCCTTACTTTCTTCACCTTCGAATAATTTGCCCAAACTCTAGACCATGTGCTTTTCCCTACCCTGCACCAGGGGTTCCTCGGGGGACATTCTTCCGCTGAGCATCCGCAGGCCCTTCTCCTGCCTCGGCTTCTGGGGGCCACTCTTTTCCACGTCTTCCCCTCACCCTTTCTCAGTATTTTTCCTTCTTAGTTATCTTCACTGAATCGCTTCCTCAGCTAACACCTCAAACATTAGTATTTCCCAGGGTTCCACCCTCAATCCTATTTTTCAGACTATGTATTTTTTTCCTGAACAATCTCTTATATTTTCATAACTTCAAGTGACACTGATGGCTATGATCTCTGGGGAAAGACAACTTCCCATAGCCTGAAACGATTTCCAGTTGCTTACTGACCACTGCCATCTGTGTAATACACACAAAACTAACATCATTTCCTAACACCCCAGCTCATTCTGAAGCCTACAGTCCTGTTGATTATAATCCACAAAGTGATTCAAGCTTCAACACCGAATCACTCTCAACCTCTCTCCCGGGCTCCTCAGAAAATCGCATTCCCATGTATCTCCTCAATCTGTCACATCTGTTCCATCCCAAATTCTACTGCCCAAGCTAAAAAGTCCTCTGCCCTCACCCACACTGCCACAATAGCACCCTACCTGCTTTCCCTGCCTCAAGTCTCGCCTAAAGGATCCTTTCTCCATGGGGGGATGGCTTTTAAACTCTATAAAATACTTCTATAGCTTCCCATCATATACAAAAAGTTCATACTCCTAACATGAACACGAAATCCTTTATTGCCTAGGCCCTACACATATTT